ACGTTCTTTCAATCAATTGATTTCCGAAAGAGTGGCAATGGGCATTGCGTGGTGGACTTGGCGATTATAGTTAGTTGCGTACCCCTCACCCAAGAATGCTTAAGTAGCAATTTCCATGGGATATACAAAATTGTAGAGTGTGGAGATGCGAAAACTAGGCGCCATTTTGATGCCCAGCGTGGAAAGGGCATAAACTTGGTGCAATCAAAGGACGCATCCACAAGCGCCACACTTCTCTCCACCTTCTACTTGTGGCTGCGAAGTAGAGGCAGAAGGTCCCTTTCAATGAACTTCAACATTATTCTTTTAATTTCTTCATTCTAATTTTGAATAATACTCTCTTGCAAATCTTTCACTTGCCTTGTGCATGGGATCCTCCCAATTTTTGTTTTACAAAACACCAATCTCATTGACATCTATAAATTTCTCTTAGTTGCAAAAAAAAAAAAGGGCGTAATCCATCGGCCATAGTCTAAGAAGATGGCTTTGTTTTCGATTTTGTTTCTACTAGATTATTTTGAGTTCAGTGGGAAGTTTCTTAGCTTGATTTCTGATGGATGATCTAACTTGAACCGGTTTGAGGATTATCATTTTGGCAGAAGGACAATCAGGTCCGGAGTTTTGTTGAGCTTGAGTTCAAAAGGTGGCCTAAGGAGATTTTTTTGAACGAGTTCAGTAGTGTTATAAGGTTCTACTGTGACAAACTCTCACTTTGGTTCGCTTCGTTAGGTGTTGTTGCTGATGGAGCCATTGGGATTAGAAACAACGGCTTCAAAGTAGCGCAGGATGGGGCTGTGGCATTGAATAAAAGTCAAGGCTAAGAACCCCAAACTAGTTCTTATTTTGATGAGCGATACCGGTGACGGTCAACGAGCTTCTGTTGAAGCAAATCAAGGCAGCCTTTAAAGAAGAATTTGGGAATGATTATCAGGTTAGACATGACTTAGTAGTCCAATCGAGCAACTCAGCAAAGTGTGATATCAAATAGAAATAGAGACCAGTGAAGCATACAAACTCTTCTAATGGGGGTTTACTATGGTAAGTCCTTCTCTGAGTTCCTCGAGACGAGAGAATCTTGAAAAAGATTATGACCTCACGATATATCTTACATGTTCCTCAAAGGAAGTACGAAAATGTATTAGAATTTGAAGAGATTTTACCAGTGGCCAGGGATGGAGAATGACATAACAGTTTTTGTAGGTCGATGTTTGACCTGCTACTAGGTGAAGGTCCTTGAGACATCGCCAAACATGATTATTACAACCCTTAAATGGTATTGGATACTAGTCACTATATTCGCTGGCTGTTCCAGCCTATGAAAGTGGGACTTTTGAGAATTTCATTACAGGGTTACCATTCTCACTTGGAGTGATATCAACGTATGGCTTGGAGATTCATTCCAGTGGGCATGAAGGGATCTTTCATGGACAAACAAGCCCTCCATGGCACACTGGCTTAGCGTTCATGGGTGCTATGAAATGTTGTGCAGGATTAGGAGAAAATGTAAGTACGGAGGTCAAGGTTTCAGTGATGGATGCTTCTCGTGTTGTTTTAAAAAGGGATATGGCTACATAAATGTATCTCGAGATTGCCAAGAACACAGCAGGATTTTAACAATATCTGGGTAGTTGGGGACAGACCAACTAAAATAACTTACTTCATTCCATGAGACTACATATCTAATAAATCGATAGGATCTATTATATATCAAGATTTAGTATGCCTGAAGAGGTGCCAGTCTCTATTGTGTCAGACCGTGACACTAGGTGCTTATGCAACAGAGTGGTTCACTTAGTGAAAGTCTCATGGTATACCCATTGTGATGAAGAGGCAACTGGGATCGTGAAGAGATATGAGAAATGTCTATCCCAAATTCTTCCAAGAGATGCCAACTTTCGAGGACGAAAGTTTTTTTTAAGGAGGGGAGAATTTGTAATACCCGAACTACAATGGAAAGTTTAAAATCTAAGTTTACCTTGAAAGTCGATCTCTCTCAATTTTATTGAAGGTTTTAGGGACCAAAATCCGAGATGCAGCCCAAGAGAAAGATGATTTGAAATAAAAGAAGAAGTTAA